TACTCTATCAGATTGTACAATAGGGACATTACGAGAATCAAAGAATATTTGATTTTCTATTTTTAGAGCAAAATCGCATAGTCGAATTAAGTCAGGTAACAAAGTTAGAGGGTACCAGATTTTCTATTTGAACAGTTCTGGTACAATAACAAATGTTTCCTTCTAGTAAATGACCTGCCACGTCCAGCCTGCTGCTCGTAAATAAGTTTTCCTGAAATTGTTATTGAGAAAGATTTTGATTTCCGTATAAAAGTTCGCGTAAGTTGACCCGTATGTGCAAACGATGATTCGACACATAAAACCAGCTTCTCATTTGGTTTGATCATTGATGAGACGAATTGCAGGCAGTACTTGAATAGTATTTAGGCTTCGGTGGAAGCTCCCAGGTTGTATTGACTTCGCATAGAATGTCAAAGTGGTGTATTTAAAATCCATTAAATTGTTATATTTCGAAAAGGTTTAAAGTCCATTTACTTCTCACGTAATTTTGTGCGCTACTTTTCATAACTAAATTTTAAAGTTTCTAGTATTTAGCCAAGGAAAGCCCTAGAAAATAATCGTAGCCATTATTTATAATGTGAGGAGCTGGCCGTTGGTCGGGGACTGGCAATATATCGGCAACGGCTAGGGCTTTTAGACCTTACCGCGTACATTCTTAATTGTAACAAACAAGTAATTATTTTCAAATATTACTAATGAAGTGGCTACATACACGCATACACATACATACATAAACGTAGAATAACATTTTTCGTAATACTAAATACGAAGTTGTCTAAAAAAATACAAAATGCACTTAAGCATTCGCAGTTTCCTACAGTAAATGTGTATCTTCTGTGTACATTTCAGATCTTTTTGGGAAAGAATACTTTGGAGCGCATTTTATGGCCTTCATCAAGGACCTCCTTACCTGAAAAGTCTCTCAATAATATGCCCCGTAACCCGTCAAGAATTTTGTGTCATGGTAGAAGCGTCTCAATATCCTGAATAAGGGTGATAGGTTTTCTTGAGTTATCCCCGTCATAGCTTAGTGCGCAACGTATCTGCTTGCAAATATTAGGGACACTGTGTGGTCTAGATGCGAATTCGGGTAAAGACATACTTGGTTTCTTCTTTGAGTTAAGGTGTTATTATTGTAACGAATACACTTATTGTAAATAACGTATCGATGTGTATCATGGAGAAGTGGCCTGTGTTGCACCGAGAAGGAGTACTCCTATAAAAAACATGACTTTTAAAGATATACACTTCTAAGCTCTAAGTTCAAGGCCTCTACACGAGTTCGAGGACTGTTTGTATACGATACATGCAAGTAAGTCCTTGATACCACAGCGAAATCACACTGAGAATGCTAAATCTGGAATACATTGAGCGTTGAGTTAATGCATTAATAGAACATTAGGTAGAACGTAGCACATTGATGACTTAGAGCTGCGAATGAAAACTTCTACTGAAAGACTACGGAAAGAGTGCTATCGTAAGGTGCTGCAGATTGGGTGCAATACATTAAATAGTCTATCTAAATAAGCGGAAGCATTAAAGAACAAACTAGGAAACAAAAAAAGTTATAGAAATAGCTATAAAAGGAATACTGGTGGTAAAATGGAACGAGATGATACGCATTGACTCAATCTACGGTGAATTAGGTTGTTCTAATTAAAGTCAATTCGAACCCCTTATTATACAGAAAATGTTGGGTATAAAGTGAACACTTTTCCCTGATACCATGTTCCCTATAAAAAAAAAAAAAAGAAAGTACTCGCATTAAAATATCATGACACATCTAGCTTGGAGTCTTGGCTTGGTTTACATGGCTAATTTGTTCTCCAAAAAAAGCTATGTGGTTTACCATAAAATATTGACACACCATTGATTTATTCACTGTTGATAGCATACGTTTAACAACACTTCGCAACAACGAAATTATAGGATCAACAACTATAATTATTTGCGCTTATGTCAACTGAGTTGTAACATTAATAGCATCAAAAGTTTACAGCATTTAAAGCCTGGACTCGCAAGAAAATCAGTAGGGCCGCCTCCGAATTCATAGCTCTAGGGGGCAGCAACTTGCATAGTATTCCTCACTCTCTCGTTAATCTAATGAAAACGCTCATTTGCACATTCACGCTGGGGTTTGTGCCTTGGGTCGCTAAACGGGTGACAACGTGACGGTTTGTCAGCTGAAAAACTTGTCTATTTTGGCGAGCTTTTTCTATCGTTTATTGAAACATATATGGAGAGAGCCTCAGTTGTTTGAGGTCTCAAGTGGTATCTCATATCCCCGATGTGAGTCGAGATGTTGACATGGAGGTAAACTAGTCGATTTGTCGCTTTGAAATGAAAGACTGGAGTATGTTTTAAAAATGAGACATACGACAACCCGAGTGAATTGAGATCTTGTTGTATATGGTTTCCCAGGTTACATTCACTGTCAGGTCAAATAGGCGAAACGCTGTTGTGAGGGGCGGTTTGGGGTCTTGATTGTATTTAACGCAATCAATGGTATTCTACATCATTCTGTGATGTGCAAAGAGGAGATGTGACCATCAAAAAATGTAAGTAGCGCGAAATATCAAAGTTTATAGACAAACATAAGGGAGATCCGGTGAAAGAGAGTGCATCCAGCTACGATCCTGCCTCCTATCTTGAATTTTACGGTCTCTATTTTATCCAGACTGACGGTCTGTTCCGCTCCAATTACTGCCCTGTGGAGCTGTCTTCTGTACTTAGAATCGAGTCCTATATTACAAAGACATGTATGCAGAGGATAAGTTTGACTAGGTTTTTTTTCGGCTTCTTATTATGTCGAAAAGATTCTTAGGTAAGACTTAAGTAAGAGGACTTAGATTACCGCTTCGAGCCTGTCATTGAAAAGAAGAGGGCTGATACGCTATTCCATCGTTTAGGCTTAACTTGTTCTTTTATAGGATCGTAGCCAGCACGGACAGCATATTCAATGGCACACCCACGTACGCCGAAATATGTGGGTCATTTTTCAGGATACAGAGCCAAGGCGCCTTTGAAGTCAATTAACAACGTGAAGGTCGTTGGCATGTACAGTGCCATGCAACGGTATAACGTGATCTTCAGGTAATGTTGACAAGACAAACCATTTTATTATTATAACATATGGATACGCTTTTACTGAGATTCCCTGGGCCACCGCTGTTTGAGCTAAACAGTTCACGGTGTGGAAGTCAGGGAGACCAAGCGTTAAAGTAACAAGGCAGATCTAGAAAGTGCTAATCTTATCAGTCTAAATCTAAGTAAAGGTAATAATCTAAAATTAATAAATTTGATGCAGAATTTGGACAAATCTCTTTTGAAGCGCTTATTTTTTAGCCTTTGAAAACCCAGTAGCTTTTCACTTTTCCGAACGTTACAGAATTTATCGGTATTTATAGAATTGCAGATCTCCGGCGCGGACTTTCAAGCAGTTTTTGTGGCCAGTCGCTCATCGAAATACTCTTATGGCTGCGTCGTCATTTCAGCCGGATAGAGGGCAGAGCTACTCCTTGTTTATTTTCACCCCGCCCAGGACTCAACCTCGCGCCACGTGTAGCATTGCCACGGCGCAGCTAGCAGCTATTTTCAAACCGGTACAAAGGTTTACAAAAGAAATTTTTAAACAAGTTGCATTTTCCTGTAGAATTTATTCATAATAAATAAATAATAATAAATAGGTTACAGTTCCATAGCCAGACGCGCATACAGATTTGGATAACCAGATACCGGAGGACAAAACTATTATGTATACATATATTTGTAAAAGTTTTTACCAAACACTTTGAATAAAGCGACCGTAAAGGTCTTACATATTTCGTTATTTTAATTCACCTGCTAGCTCGTTTAGAAATAATATATACTTCTTGGACTATTTCCTTCCAATTCTATTCTAATGCTATGCCACGATATACATCCTGTTGTTGTTGTTTGTTTGCCTCGAACTGCGGCATCGCTCGCATATCGTTAATGGTGTTCAGTTGCTATTTCAACGGTTTTTTTCCTTTTCTGTTGTGTTTTTTAACGTTTAAGACCATCTGATACAGCAGAGCCCTCCAACGTAGTGGTTAAGGTTCCGAACCGTGGGTGCACACATTTCGTCACGTGCTAGGAGCCAACCGTCTGAAGTAATGTATAGGGACTTTTATTCCGGACGTTTAACGGTTCATAGGCAATTTACAAGATTCGAGCTTAAGGAACTGTATGGGGTTTCATATTTTTTTTTTTGTATACACTTATTAAAATGTAATCGTAGAGTCTTTTGGCTCAGATCTTGCCCTTGAGAGCTTTCTGCCAGGCTTGAATTAGAAATTGGCTAGCGTTGTTTTGCCATATTTGACTAATCAATCGGATTTGCATAATCTGTTGGTAACTCTGATGAGTAGGCAATTAACCCGATTTTGCTATCGTAGTTTCGATTGCTTCTGGAGTAAATGAACAACGTTTTTTCCTAACGATTTTTGAGCCCGCTGATACATTTCTACGGCAGTCATGCAATGCAATGCAGAGAACCAATATTATCCACAGTTTTATCACCTTACAAGAATTATGGTATGTTTTCATTAATCGAACGTAAAATGTTTTGCAGTGGTTGGAATATACGCCATTGCCGTTTAGGGGGAGGGACAGCGCGTACATACTAATGCAATGAATAAAATAGTTGTCAAAAATGCCGTAGAACAGACGCCGATGTGTACTTTATACAGTTTATTTGTCTGGCGTCTGTCACTCTTTTCAGTGTTAGATAAATTTATAAAGAGCTAGTTTTGCTAATTTGCTATTCCAGGCGTTCTCAACAATCGACCAAGTAATCTTTCTCTAGCTTCGAGAGGTCAAATATCTAATCACACCCCAGGCAATACCAACCGTAGTGCGTACTCACAGAGCATCTGGAGTAAATAAACCAATAACTGCGCCATTTCCGACAGCGGTAGCTTCCTCTGTGAAGTTGTCCCTCTCATATCTGTCGAGGAATGGAGTCTTCGACGGCTTCCAGGTGTTTTATATGATCTGCGTTTACGTTGTTCATTTTTGATTCGAGTTTTTCCATCAGGAATCTTTTCTTAGACAATTTTATTTCTGTCACACTTCCACACTGCCAAAATTCATGTGCGCCCCTCGTTTGTAAACGTTAATGAATTAGGAAAAAAAGCTAGTGAAATCAATAGAGCTTTTCTAATCATCAAAATTATCGGCGCGGAACAAAACTTTGGTCTTCGCTTTCTCATGAACGGTGCTTAGTTCATAAACGTCTTTTAGTTCGTTGATGAACGTCTCTATATAGACGCCAAATTTTTTTCGTCCCTCGACTGTCTTCAAGATGAGCTGTTCCTGTCGAAAAAAGGTTTTCAATGAATTCTTTCACAATTTTTGCAAAACTTCACTCCTTCTCTGAAATATTCACATTAAATTAACGGATATGTCAACTTTGCGTTGAGCTGAGTTTATTTTGTAATACAGCATAATAAGCATTCCTCAGCAATTGAATATATAAAAGCAGGGGCGATTTTCAAAATATTCCTTTATTTTAATTCGCAATTAACTTTTTACTAATAAGCGTGCACCAAGTTGTATATTCATTGGCATAGACTCGTGCGAAAGGATTTAGATAAAAGTTCGTTTTCGCTCAACTTCTAAACCAGCGCACTATAACGTATTTGTTTTGTTCTAAAAAACAGGCTCTTTTTTGATGCGAGGAACGGCGAATTTACATGCCCCTTACGACAGACAACCCGTAAAAAGTTTGGGTGCTCTAACTGCTATGTACTGAGTATAGTTATTTCTACGAGCCAGTCCCTTTCGTAGGAAAACAAGTAACCCATTAAGGTGTTGTTTTTAGAATTCTAGAAAAGATCAGCTATTATACAATATTTCCACATTTGGACGAGCTCTAACCAAGATTAAAAAATTATATTCTTCCCCGAAATCGAAAGCTCATATTGTAGCCAGATTTCATGCAGTTGCTGAAAAATTTGATGACACCATTTATGGGGAAAACCAAAACGTCCTCATTGGAGTCTAGAAATCTCCCGTGCTGTGCATGCGTCTACCCCATTTTTACTTGCTAATTACCTGAACACTAGGATTGATAAACCACATGAGTATTAAACGCTCAAACTATTGGATCTGCTCAACTACGTTGGGGCCGTTTACTTTTTGATAGTAGCATTTTGACATTTCAGAGTCATATGGGGAGACCGGTAACTAAGACATCCAGTGCGAATTTCGGAGATGCTGGATACATTGAAGGAAACAACCCGTTAACGAGGCAAGCGCCTTAAAATGACACGTTAGACTACCTAAGGTGCTGGACATGACCAAGCTGTGCCCCTGATTACAATCTTGTTCTTGGTCAAGAGAACCATACACATGAATGGACAAGGAAGTCAACGCTATACCTTATAAACTTCGCACAACTAACAGAACACTTTAAAAGTATGTTTGAGTGGGCAAACCTCATTTCACGAATCGTGCCTAGGTACTCAGGTGCATAGAATAAACAGACATCTACAATCGTAGGGAACTGAAGGCTATGTTTGATGTACTCTGCTTCCTGGAATAACTCCGGAGTGGCTGGACCAAAGCTGACTCGCAATGAACAGTTGGAAAAGTGTGCATGGTATGTTCTTTTGCTGAACAAGTCTATTTAAATTCTGTTTGCAACGTGGACACCAACCGACAAACTGGACTGAAGCTTTTTTCAGCGTATTACACAAGGGAGGGGGCAATCCAGTCGACTTATCTTCAGGGAGGAAAATTGCAAGGAAGACTTGCTGCTACAAGCTTCTGGCGTACGTCATTCGACTAACGAAATCCTGAATGCTCGTTCATGTATTTCTAAAACATACAATACCTCAAGCACGTAGACACGTTTCGACGTTTTCGGCGACAGACTCTTTTATAAGATACAGAGTTTTTGTCGCGGATCAAAATAAACGCTTTCTGCTGTGTTCATCAACTTTAAGGCGACGCTCTACATGGCTCCGAGGGACAAAATTTTAATAAAGCTTCTAGAATGGGAGTTCCACAACACATACTGCATTCAATCAGAGATATATTACAGTAAAGTTTAGCTAACATAGATGACAGAGTGGCTTAACAGGAGCCGTGCATCCAGTCAACTGGCGTTCCTTAGAGTCATAACCTAAATCCTCTGCTCTCCTCTCTACTGCTGACTACTTTGCTACTCCGTGTTTACGGTTCGATGATTTAGGTAAAAACGTTACTATACGCAAATGATCTGGTCGTCTACAAAGGAGTCGGTTTCATGTCCAGCAGGCTTTTGCCAGGCTGTCGTTGTACGTGTATGAGGCCGACTTGATCAACAAAGACAGAGGCCATGGGGGTCCTTGTGCTGCTTCCGACACTCCACATACACAGAACGATTTTGACGTACGTAACTGGCAACAAGTGTTTGGGGGGTGATCTTTTTCATGAACGGTCGAACTATCGCAAAGCGCATTGCGATAGATAAGCAATGGTTACGAATGAAAGAATATGAGATTTTCCTTACGCAAGACGCTGGCCTTATTCAAAATAAAAAATGCCTTGACTGCTTATTATCACCTACATACATAAATTTATTTCAAACATTTCGTATTAAAGCAGCTCGAAATACTTAATTGAGTTAAACTTTTGTTTCTTAAGCGAGTCGTGAGCTTCTATTTATTCATTCTCGAACGTATACTTTCTGGGCGACACACCGCTATCCGTAGACAATCTAAGTACCCCTTCACTCCTGCCTCTTCGGAGTTCATTAGTACTGAGGTCAATGCCCTTTATAATATTAGAACCATGACTAATGAAATCTGGAAAAGGCCGGGTGTGGCAAAGTGGCACATGATTACAGGCTTAACTGTACACCAGCTCTATCACATTATATATTGTAACAGTGAGTTTTCATTTACCAGGAGCTACGTATATCTAAACAGCAGGTAGTGAAATATGGCACATAACCAATGACATAAGGTGTCATATGTTTGGCCATCACTGGTCAGTTTCTCCGGTAGGGCACACCGATCTTATAATTTCTAATTATTCAGTCACATTGTTTATAGAATACAATTTTTAAAAACTATCTTATGCAGCTGTAGATTCACTGTGCTAAACAATTAGGGAAATTACCCAGATGAGTCTTTTGATATACTACGGTCTTTGATACAGAAATTAACGACCATGCTAGAAAAGAAAATATCAATTATCAATGGTATCATCTAGAAAAACCTCAACAGTGTCTCCAAGTCGATGTTTGTAAGACTTTTTGTGCATTTTTGCACTCTTCAAACTTTTTAGCCGTTCGAGCCCTTGCGTTTCTGAGTCTGCTATCGGTCAAAACTTAATTTCCCGTATCTTAAGCAGTTTACATCTACCTATCGCTCGACGCGTGATTACTATTATAATGTTATTTTTGGATTAACGAAGAAATAGTTGGCAAATGACCGTTAGTGGTTTAGATCCCAAATTAAAGCTGTGAATTATGGTTACACTGAAACATGGCCGTCCGCAAGAACCCTTTCACTTTGTGCAAAAAACTTCACTGAATCTCTGCTTTTGCATATATATAGCCGCAGAAACAACCTATGACAAAACATCCACATTTAGTTACTCATCATATATATATATATATATATATATAATTTCTTATCTGTAAGTTATTTAGATCAGCGAAAAGTCTACATTTTTCTCAGAGACTCGCGACATAAATTATACGCGCCTTAACAGGAAACTTTGCTAATAAAGCTAAAAATCAATTGTAAGGGCGTCTGTTTGCATGCACTTATATACGATTTCACAAAAACAGCGGGTAACTGTACAGTTACATATCGTCCACGACAATATGTTCTAAATATTCCGAAAACGCCCCTTGAGTATAGGTGCGACGATCTACAGTTCTAGATTTACAATATCAACCTTGTTCCAGACTATTTTTTAACCCGAAGATACGCTAACTTACTCAAAACAGATTCACGTTTTACTTGACGAACAAGTTGAAGTTAGGTTGCAAATACAAACACACCATAGCAAAGTTCGTATAACTACGAACAAGTGAGAGTCGACATAGTTTCTATGTGATAAAGACATAATTTTACGAACTTGTCCAGAGAACGCGGTCTGCTGTTGAACTTATTAGCATTATTATATTATTATATATTATTGAACGCAGCAATATTAATTAAAGAACTTTATTCTGGCACAATAACGGACTTGTTTTACTAAACTAATACAACTTCTTTTAAATGTACTGGATCCTTGTCTTTGATTTGACCACATCGTTTTCTTGTAATACTTAATAAGAGAAACTTTAAAGTAAACATAAACATAAATGTATCAACTGTATCAACATTTAGTCATACTGCGGCATTCCGCAACACTCCATCTATCATTTGCTCATCTCCCAACATATCACCTTTCTGAATGTCACGCTACATTTCATAAAGTGCTCTTTTCCATTCTGCTATGTAATTCTCATTTCGTTAATATAAACATAGTTCTAATTAGAAATTAATTGACTGGCGTCTCGTTTTACCCTGAAATCAACTTTAATTGACAAATTAATCAAATGATATCTCGGTTGGTTTTTGCATATTGCTTAGATACCTGCAACCACGAGGCAATTTAGCTGGGGCACAACAACTGTATTGAAAGGAAAACCAACTGAGGTGACTTATGCAACTCAACTTCCTTCTAACCCAAAGACTTGCCGGCCTATACGCTGTGATTCCTGTAGACTATTTTAATTTTCGCATGTGCTTAGTTTCATGTGCGCTTCAGCGGTCCTCCGCCGCCGCCACGGCAGCGGCAAAGCAGAGCAGACGACGCGTCGCTGCTCAGTTGGACGATCAAAAAGGATGCGTAGTATTGTTGTTGTTGTTGATAATGATTTGTGTCTAATCAAAAGTAATTTTCGATAGAAAAAGATGGCGCGCTTATTTGTCCCACTGAATTTTGCGTGTGGCCGTCACTACAGTCTAACGTGCCAATCGTGCATTCTTTATAAATAGATAGCAAATTTGTCGCCCCATAGCATTTTTGTGTTTCTATGTAGCGCGCTCTTTCCAATACTTAGATAGCACTGATATTCCCCGTACGTTCGTCAAATTTGCTTTTACGTTTATGAAAGCAAACTGACTCAGGCCGATGATTTGCACGATTATAGACTATGACATTTGATTTATATTTGTCTCACGCTCACTCCTAATACCAATGACGATTATTTTTTGTATTCCTAGAAATTTGCTGCACCTGAATTAACGTTTTGTCGCGACGTTTTCAACAAAAGATGGAACTCACATTCTACAGAACAAACACAGATTATCGCTACTGCCGTTCGTGATTAACGAACAACAAAGTCCGACGTCTTCTCAAACCAAAATTAGGTTCATAGGCCATATTGGTGCTATATTGCTGCTAAAGCTTTAACAATAAGTAAATAAAAAATTATCTTATATTTTTCCCAAAAAGTTCGCTATAATGTACTTTGTTACAAACACAAGCAATTATTCTTCGAACTTATGTGAAGAACGTTAACAGGCAATTCTCTTCATGTATAAAACAATTCCAACCGAGATAGCAATCCGTTAACATAGTAAACACCATTTTTTTGCGATGAAGTCTTTTAATTAAAGAGAGAAGCGGAAGGAGAGAGAGAGAGAGAGGGAGAGCTAAGCGTACTTATAGGCACAGAGCTCAAATTATTCACGCTCAGCAAGATACTGTTATACATCTTATACTTTAATTTGTATTATAATGAACAATGCAAACAACGTCCGCATGTTTCATTTCACTAGATGCGCTATGCAGTTTAATTTTTTTTTTGTTCGCTAAGTATACCGCGATCGCAAAAAGTGGCGGGTCTCATTGGACTTTTTTATTGGAAAGTTTTATTCCACTCGATCGGCGTGTATTCAATTCAATGTGATAAACATACAGTCGCTCCGTTGTCGAACATGCGCGCCTCACGTGCGTAGCACACGACGGAGTGTTTTACTGCTGGGCGACGACACGAACACCATAAGTATGAACGCGGAAACCTCAGCAGCGTATTCGTCACGTTTTCTTATATTTTACAGTGCGAGTCAAATTTATGACTCGATTTTTACAGAATTACTAAGTTCAAAAGCACATAACTAAGGTTATCGTCACATACTTCAGACAGCCGATATTTTGTGTGGTAAAAAATCAATGATAACCGCGGTTAAGCATTGGCTCGATACCAATTTTACACGCCCATCGAAAATTACCGTCACAAATAAATGTAGAGAATACACGAATTTTCTACTGAATAATGAGATGTCCATGTTATACGGCGTTCATCTCTATAATATGACTTCTGGAGAAGCTTCTCAAGGTGTCCCTCAAATTGATCGGCCCTGGAAAACTTTGAGATCATTTCTAACTCAATATTGTACATAGTTTAACAGTAACAAATGAATCGACGTATTGCACTATGTCACGTGGTAGTATAGCTCGCACAAGCTGTCGCCAATGTCGATGACGCAAAAGAACGAACAGAAAGTTTTTCAATGGCTATTTTTTGAAGAAATTACATAAGCTTCGAGCAGCTCGATCAACGTGCAATGTAGCAGACCTCGTTGAAATTAATCATCAATCGTTAACAGTCGAAAAGAGTTCTTGCACCACATACGTAAGCGAAGCGTTTCAAGTCGCATAAGCCTTGCATACAGATCCGCTTACGTACTAAACGGATGAAGGATACTAAGCTAGATCGCGAAGGTGAGAGAGTTTCTGAGAAACCTTTTTATTCAAGCGCTATGACGTCGTTAACGCACTCACGCCAGCCGTAAGAACGATCTCCGGTTTTGAATGACGCAAAACAGAAGACTATATCCTGATCAAGCTGTCGTGGCAGCATCGACCGCTTTGGTTGAAACAATACAACTTGACATGGGACTTGGAGAAAGATGAAGTGTACCAAAAACAGAAGCGATGAGAAACAGAAATACTATATCACCAAGTACATTTTGTTAAAAAATATACATACGTCTTTTCGTGCTAATCGTCCGCTTTTCATTTTGCCTAGAATAGTGCATTTATCGATAGACTCTTTGTGGATTTTGGCGTCTTCACGTTCGTCGTGGCTAAAAGCCGTAACAATCGCCATCATCGACGTATTGGACAAAAGCAACTGCGGCATCACCGTCTTGCCCGCACAGTGACAGCACAATGGGACAATGCTGGAAACGCCGTCTGACACGTCGATGGTGTCTTCTGTGACGAGTTTGCCGTTGCTGTTTCCAACGCTAAGACTGCAAGTTGCGCGTGAGTCGTTCCAAGTCTTACAGCGTAAAACGTTAACTGTTGCTATTTCATATGAGCCATTATGGGGCCGCTAATCAACCGCTTATCTTTCGCACATAACATTCTGCGTCGAACACTTCCTAGTTGAGCGCTGACAGAACGGATTTATAGAGAAAAACATCAAATCCAGTGCGATTTGAAATGAAATATCTAGAATTTTTAATATTTATTAGAGCTATTCTTCTTTGTTTTTTTTATGCATTTGTCTCAGCATTTTGATAGCGTCTGAATAACCATATACCCTCCGTTTACCTTACCACATATAATTTCTCCATCTATTGTTCAATATTTCAAATTTTACGTCGGGCATCGCCGTTAGGCTGTCCATCAAACGAGTGACCCTAGTGCGAAACAAAGTGTATACAATATGTTCTTACAATTAGCAAACAAATACGTTACCTACTAAGTTGTCATATCTATGACTTTTCGAAGTTAACCGATCGTGGGATACACTTGCCTGCCAGCTTCCCCTTTTACGGCATGAGAAGCTTGGTAATTACACTCAGTTGGATTGAGAGAACAAACGGAACAAGCTCGAAGCCAACATCTTTTTCCTAATTAAAGAGTAATTGGGGCATGGCGATAGGGTCTGGCGTTGTCATCAAGTTACCAGACCGCGTGCTTTTGGTTGTTGGGCTAACGGTCCGTAAGTTTCTTAAGGAACTAGATATAGCGGGCTGCGTTCATTGTTTCGTTTTTGGTGAGTATCTCACAGTACCAAATGTGCCGAACGTTTATTGCAAGAGTCTACCCTAACTTTATGTTCGAATTTACTTAGCCTTGCTATCAAACTCGGTTCCTTTTCAGGATGCTATTTGCTTATTTAGTACTTCTACGGGTAAGGGTAAAGGGTCAAACATGCATTTCCGAATGGCCAATGGTCAAGTTTCTACATTTTCGATACTTGGGTTATACTTCTATAACACGTTACATGCGAAATGCCAGTCTTCGCTGACAGAACCTTTAGACTTGAAGCCTTGCTTTCGTGAAAAGACTCCTCGACAGCGGCGATGCGTTTTTGTCCTTCCAGTCTCAACATCTAGTGACCTACTCGTTGGTCTTCAACACTTCAATTTTCATTCTTGAAACGTTTGCACCATTGTTTTATTGTGCTTTTGCTTAAGGTTTTCCCACCTATGACCCGCAGTGCCCTATGAATTTCCACAGTGACGTAGCCTTAGCCGATAAATGTTGATTTTCAACACTCAAAGGTGTTTTTCCTTCTATAATCGTTTCTCCCAGCGTAAACTCGACCTGCTACCACTGATAAGGCTTACCATATATTTATCAGCTAATATTTCGTTTGTTTGTGGCGCGCAGTTTAAAAATTATATTGGACTCAATTTCCATACCTCAGCGTATTCGAGCCGGTTACGTTAATGGTGTTGCTGTCTATGCCGTTCAAGATATAACTCACAATTTCTTTTTTCTTCTTCCAAAATGGTGTATGTGATTACTGATGCTAATTTGTTTTCTAAGCACGTATGTCGTAGACCGGCTTTGCAATGATGCAAAATTCTGTCGACTCAAAGATGCACTACCGAGTTCTTATTAACCACTAGCAATGGGTGAGATTCTAGATTATATACGTCTGATTTGACGGACACGGTCTCGCGGATTTATTTTTTTCCTGTGAAGCTCGACTCCAAACGCATTTTACTGAAATTTGCGTTAGCGGGCTAATAATATAGCATATAGGACTCACTTTCACCTAGTAGTCTGCGACCTTAACAACTCACAACGACAAGTAACTGATTTTCCATTTGCGACAGCAACGATTGAGACATTAGACCAAATCCAAATCTCGTAACTAATAAAAACGCAATTTTATTACGGAAAATTGAATTCTTTAAATATATGGTCTAATATAATATGGTATATAATATGGTATAATATAGAAATCACAACTAATAATGCATCGACATCTTCTTCCTAATCGCTGACAACCATTTTCAATGGGTACTGATGGTTTGTGCTGCATAATCCATAATCTGCAATATTTAGAAAAGTTAGCAGCTTTACGTATCGGAGTTTGAAGAAGTCTTCCAACTCTATGCATACCAACGAATTCGAAGAGCCTATTGAAAGAGACATTGTCGAGATGTTAGATTATTGCGATGGTAATGGCAACGCACAAAATTGCAAAAACGCACAATAGAAAATAACTTTCGATTAAATACAGATCAACAACAACAGAACCAAGCATCTTTTGATCGCCATAGCAGAACGATGATGCTGTGGACGCTGTTGTCTTCTTCGCTGCCGCGGCGGGTTGTTAGAGCGTGGACCGAAGAAACGCTCCAGAAGAAAAAGCGAATTTTCAGAAGTTAAAAATCGAAGTTGCAGAATTAAAACTTCAGGATTTGGAACGCACGCCCAGCAATTAAGTTTTATTTGAAATTTAGTATACTATCGTGCGATAAACTTGTATTCGTTTTTGTCCATCACTGTCAATTGGCAGAATCCAAAATGTGTCGTGTAATAGGTCGTAATCAGTTAAACATAACATCTTGTATGTCGCTCACCATTCAATAGTAATAGCAATAAGAGCCTCATCTGCAACATAACTTTCTCATAAAAGTTCCAACTATTTCATACCAATCGATAATTACTAGTCGCCCATATCTCAAGGGCCCAAGCACAATTCGCTCTTAGATCATTCATAGGCTCAAGTATGTAGCAACATTCTAGTGTGATGACGTATAGACGGAAGTCCTTTCTCACCACCATCTCCGTTTTGAAAAGATCAGATAAAATCTATATTGTCAGGATTACACGGCACGTGTATATTTCTTCATTTAGTGCATTGGTCGTATTCTCATGACAATATTTTTTCCGGTATAAAAAAAACACAGCGTGAAGGGCTGTTCTTATAGCTTCTTCAGCGCTCTCGCTACTAGATGAACAATGCCTGCCTTAAGCAAATTCACAGCAGGTGATTTTGGAGACATATCAGTGTAACACTAGTAGCAACTGCGTCAATTGTAGTGATTTCTCTTCAATTCCTTTCTTCTTCAATTTCAGTAGCTTCATTCAGCAGCAGAAGTTCATCTAGCAAAGCTTTCTGCCTCTCAAGCTCATACTTGTTCTCATTCTCAATATACAGATAAGTTTATTGTATGGATTCTTCAAGTCCGCTGCAAGTACCGTTCCGGCATTCCTGTTTCCTTAAGGAGTTCTATAGCTTTACGCCGAGCATCCTCATGATACTCTTGAACGTCATTGATATCAATTCCCATATGATGATCAATGCTGTTACTCATATGCGTTATGTACGCATCGAGAAATTCACCTGTTATGATTGAATAAGACGCGTGCATCATAACAGTTGACAGTGGCCCCGAATAAGGCGAGTCATTTCTCAAATAGAAATCGCATAAACACTTCACGAAGTTACAAAAGCTTTCCATGGTAAATTTGCGACGGTGGATCATTTTGACTTTGAGTTGCTGTGGAGATAATAGTACTTCGACGAATTTCTTCAAATACTCTGCGAAGCAAAACTCTTTTATTTCTGAAATATGTCAAATGGATATTCTTAACGGTTACTTTATTCGTATTGAGGTGCTTCTAGGTCGTGAACTATGGCGAAGTTATTTCTAGCAGAATTAAATAGATAATTAAAGTTAACTATTATTAGTTCACGTCATTTTTTTCACACTGTTAAATGCAGACCCACTTAGAGCTGAGTAGCCCAGTAGTGTACTTGCTTTCGATACCGGTGTACGGCCTTCGTATCGATACCAGCTACTCGATCGGTTTTACGTTGACTTAACAGTGGTCGAAAAACGATTTTCTGTGAGAAAAGTTTATCTTTCTAGCTAGCCCTTTAGATCCTATTAGCTTATCAATTTCTCTCTATTGAAAATACGAATTTCCATGTTTTTCTAGATCACTGCAAATTAAAATGTAAACTTCTACAAAAATTCTAATAGGCGAATGTTACTTATTAAATCAATATCTTTTCAAGCGTTTTGTTTCGGTTTCTCGGATCGCACTGCATTTATATATATATATCTTGTGCAGTAAAGTTTTGTGCGTTGAATTCGCCAGAAACAAACATAGTACCAACATACAAAGCAGCATAATATGATAAGTGAGCTTGTTTTCAGTATCGCACTTAATGCAGGGCTTCATCATTTTGAACAATTAGTCTGTAACATAACACAAATATGAATTAAACCTTAATAAAACTAATTACCCAAGATCTATATTGAAACAGTACCTTTTACGCTGCCTTTGAATTCAGGTGAAGAGGTGATATGTGTGCCAGGCTTCGGCATCAGAAAGACTCTTGTAGAATCGAAAACACCCTTGATGGTCTCTCGCCATCCTGTTGACTTTTGAGATGCATCGTTCTTGTTCAGCTTGCTAGAATCGAAAAGATAATATAGACATTTCCGCAAATAAAAGAAAACCTTGGGGGTCGTCCACAGTCATGCCGCTTTACGGCAGTCATTAGATTTCTTATTTAATTAGTGTGCTAACATCACTCGCTCGTCTGTTTAGTACCGTACAAGTAAAAGGAAAAAATGTATTGGAATAAACCGTATATTTTCTTATATATATATATAAAACCAAGGTCTTAGAAAACTTTATTTTAATTTTTTAAATAAATAAAATATTTAAATTTATTTTTTAATCTAATAATCTCGAATACACTGGAATATTTTAGAGATAATAGTAAGAAATGCACAAGCTGTATTTCATATATTGTATAATATATAATGTCTTATATTCGTAAACGAATGATGGTCTATGTATATTGTAGCGGATTTTTTTTAGCTTAAATTAAGAAGGAATGAGACGCAACGAGTTGTGGTTAGCCGCTCACTTATTTTAATGCCGGCGCCATTTTTGTATAATTCGTCTGCGAATGGACGTCAACCCTGACGTGAAAGCGAGGAAAAGGATAGAGGTTTTGATACGGTTTTGCTGAGGGGTCGCCAGCTACAGCTTCCCCTTACCACGCTTTTAGGATTTAACACTAGCTTGGGCGGGACGCATGGTGTGCGAAGCGATGCGTGGAACTGGGCGCTTAATGCAGCGAGGTATCCGTCACATGGGGTGACTCCGGGCAGCATCGACTTTTGCCGGGCGAAAACAACTTGAATCGCGAGGCATGGATGACTTATTTCTTTCGTCTGGCCCTTAGTAATGTAGCGTTATCCGCCGTTACGATTTTCATATGCGTCATAGCAGTGACCCTAATTATGACGTTAGGCCTGAAGTACCGGTTTTAGAGCTTGTTGGAAAGCCCAGTCTTACAAACTTATGCGAAGAGTATAATAGAGTTTTAATATTTATTTTATTTACATGAAGCGCCTATACTGATCGCGTCGACCTCTGTTTTGACCTCTTTCTCTTGATCAGCCTAAGTTTGTGCCAATTGTAATGATTGCTGAGTGTTGCCTAGGTTGAAGATTAATTTATTATGATGCTGGAACGATTTGTAGATAGTTGTGGGAACTGTGCGAATAACTTCTTTCGCATTAAGTAAGAGAAACGGCAACTGTTTCGTTGGATATATATATACATATATATACGGGATTGTGTTATATACATAGACTAAAAAGGACCAAGCTTCATTCTAGTCAAACTGACAATTGACAACGAGTTTACCGGGCATGTCGGAGAACGTTCTGTGTCATCATTCGATTATCCCGAATTACTATATTATTATTCATTTATCAGGACGGTGGGTGCTCAATGCATGAGTACGGTTAAAATTCACGATTTCCTGCGCTGAGCCGTCCGGTAAAGTCTCTGCCATTAGGTACTTGGACAGATGACACATGCTGTTGGCTATGTTCTGTTTGTTGTGACGTGTCTAGTTTGACAATTAGTAAATCCAAATGCTATGATAAAAGGGTGACTGAGGTGAGCATAAGGTAGAGGACCGAATTTACTCAGAGATAGTCTCCTTTTTCAGTACTAAACAAGAACAGACAAAGCGTTCTGTGTCACGATATACCCTAAGTGGGCGTTGCATTAACCTGTTGTAATATCGTGCCAGACGCTTGTTCAGCAAACCAGCTGTGCAAAGCTTTTTCGCGATATTTACCTGTCAGGATGAGCAGCAAGTCGTCATTCCTAAAGGCAAAATATAGTTGTACGATAGGTCGTTGACCGCTGATGAGGGCAGTGCTCTCGTTACTATTTTTAGTAGCAATAAGTTCCTCTGGCAGTGGTCCCGCGAGGGATCGATTATATAGCTTCTGGTTTTTTGTCTCGCTTGGTCCTCGGCTAGAGCTTCTTGCATCTCTTTGCTTTGTAGTGTGTACTTTGAAGGGCAGTCGGCATCCCGATGTTTGTTTTTTTTCATTTTATATAACTGATCGAAGTATAGTGGAGCCCATTGCGCTCATCGGCCAGGCAGATCTTTAACAGACATTCGTAACCGGTTACGACTGTTATTGATTACACGTATTGATGGAACATCTTTAGTTCTCAGATGATAGCTAGATATTCCTCTTCGGTGATGGAATAATTTTTCGCTGCTTTAGGTAAAGTACTGCTACTGAAAGTAACCACTGGTTACGTTGCATTAATGGGCTTCTGTGTAACTACAACTTCGTCTCTGTGAGTTAGCGTCAGTCTTAAAGATGATCAGCTATGTCCGATTAAAATGAGTAGGTAGGAGAGCTGAAATGTTTTTTGGACTTGAGGAAGGTTTTAGGTTGGGATTCACCCTCTCCCCCCCCCAAAAAAAACAAGTACCGCGCACCTCAATAGGTCATTAAGCAGGGACGCCATTTTTGCGAAGTTGTGCATGAACTTGTGGTAGCACGAGCACAGCCTCAAAGAATTCTTGACTACGTTCTCGTCTACTGGTGTGGAGAACTGGTTGAAAACGTCTGTATTCGTCGGATCTAATTAGGTGTCTCGCAGTACGGGATTGATAGCTTTGCAGCTCCAAAAGAGCATTCCCTATTCTTTAATTGTAAGTTTGCTGGGTCGGAGGTATTGAGTATGTCCTACAACCGCGAACTGTGCTCCCGGAAAGCCCTTCTGAAGACGGTGATGTTATCTAAGTGGACTAGGCAAAAAGGCCGTTTCTAGTTACAGAATACGTTGTCCGTTAGTTGTTCGAACGTTTCAGGAGCATTGCACAGCCCGAAGGGCATTACGTCGAGCTCTATTAGGCCATTGCGCGTGATAAATGCTGTCTTATTTTGGTATTTGTTCTCTACAGCGGACACTGGAAATACGCCTGTTTAAGGTTTAAGAACAAGAATTCGTGTAGAACCGACCAGGCAATCCAGCGCATCGTCTATACATGGTAACACATAGGTGTCTTTCCCTTCTGTCTTGTTCAACTCTCTGTGACCGTCGCAGTAGTAGTACTCGTTAGTAGTACCTCGGGACTGCATCATGAATTTGACTGAAATCCGATAGTGCGGTGCTCTCCGATTTTCAAACTTCATTCTTTATTGTCGTCCTGTCTAAGGCGCCTCGTGCATCGTTGTCTCGAAGGTTCCACACTCTCCGTACTTATGTATGTGCGATGCGATTGATGCAGCGTAAGGGTACCCCTGCTTTTGAAACCGTATCATGAAAGGGCTGCAGAATATCGAGAATTTTGTTGCTGAAACTCTGCTGGTCTATGTCTGTCCGTTGTTTATGCTAGCAGGTAGTCGGCATGCGCTTTGCTCGTTTTATCAATCACATTTGCCATTCTCATTAAAATTATGAATGATCAAAAGTTTTGTTTTTCGTTGCCCAGCCCGACCCTTAGTATGCAGCATGTTCTTTGGAGACGAAGCCCGGGTCATTAGAATGCAATTGGCGGAAATTAGCTTACATCAGCAGGGTATTGCTGACTGACGCAAACCTGTCTGCCGTTACGTTTTTAAACGCTGAGTTAACTAATGGTCAGCTTCCACTAGTAATCGAATCTGCTATAATCGGCGGTATTCTCGTGCCGCTGCGGCCACTGCAGAGCCTTGGCTTTACCCATATACGTTAAGGGTTTTTAGGCGGCTGCACCATAAACGATTGCAACCCTAATTCCTGCTTCTACTTGGAATAGCTCCTTTATGACGTTACCAGAGCGCGATATGACTATCGTCGTGCAGCCGTCAGAAAAATTATAGAAAAGCGAATGCAGACTTGCGTAAAATACTGAATAATTGCGTAAAAATGAATAACCTGAGCTGCAACCTATTATTTATTATTATTACTGCTTCGTTTACTGAAGACTCATTTTAGAGATTATCTATATTCTTTATGTTTATACTCAGGAAGGTAAGACACGGCGGATGGAGGTTAACCGCTTGCGCCGCGTTGGTGAAACTCGCCCACGAGCAGACACAAGCCCTTAGACGAGGGCGAGGTGTAAAATAGGGGTTTTGGTGCACTTTTGTCAGCTGGCTCCCTGCCCGCATACGGTAGCATCACTCATTTAAGGATTAACACTAGGCTGCACGGGGCGCGGTTTGGATCGTATAAAGTTTAGACACTGCAATAAATAATAAAACACCCTTAATAAAAATTACCTTAATGATTTTTTATATGTAGGTCCTATTTGACAGGATAACATTAAAGCAGGAGTGACTTAACTATAAAAACTGTAGCTCAATCCTAGATCATGTAAAAATGTAACTCTTATTAATAAAAAAATAGCATTTGTAGGCAAAATTAAGGATGATTCCCTGAAGATAACAAAGTGACCGCACTAGCTGGGAAAATACTGGGTTGCTTGCAATGAAACGACAATTTCAAATTTAGGTCTAGTCTGAATAGATACAAGCAAATTCAATGAGGAATAAAAATGATATTAGTTTTTCTTAGAGTTTTTTGAAGAAACAAATAATTTCATCATCGTTGTGTTCAGGATGTTTTCTAATTACTAGCAGACAATTGGAGAAAAAAATTGCTTTGAAACGTTTGTCTACTATGAAAGGCTGTGATATTGTTTTTGAAAGAAACAAACAATAACAACGATGTCCTTTTTTTATTACCTACGTACATTGCGTTTTGCGAATATAAATGATAGCCACTATTCACGCAATTGCTGAAACATAAAAGCGCTAGCTAATACTATCAACGAAATACTACTAATTAAAAGTGTAATTAAATAAATCTAGCTTACAAATTCATATATGCCCGTCCTTCGTTCCAGCCATATCTCGCATAGTCAGTACACAAGCACTCCCGCACAAAAAATATTAATTCTTGACTGATTGTAACGGCGTACTTGTACGAGTTCCCGCGTTTAACGCTTGGCTTATGTCAATGCCGCACCCAACGAAGTCTTTAAGTCACCTTCCCGAATTTTTCTAGAAACACTGAAGATCAACATCGATGACAAAAATGCACTGAACGAAAATATTTTAGCGTCAGCTTCTTCCGAACCACGTAAGCCCTCAGTATCGACTAAGATCACTGCAACCTCCCCATCCTTCGGTAGGCGAACCTAGAGAAGCATTTGCATATTTAGGACTAGTCCACACGTAAAAATTCTAAAAGCTAACGACGATTAGAAGGCATTTTAGATCCTTTGCTCATACTTGTACTTCTATTTTTATTTTCCGTTTCCCAGATTAATATGAAAAAGTTTAGTTGACATTTGAAGGTAGTCGTCCAAATCATTATTTTATTCTACGAAGTTATTATAAAATTTTGATTAGGGGCTTCGATCTGCACGCAGATATCTGAAAGTAGAAATATATCACTAAATGAATCCCATTTCCTATCGCCAATACTACACTGTCGAACTATCGAACCGTAAAATACGTGGGGAAGAGTCTACGTAAACCGTTACACGAAAAGGCTAGTTGGACGAACATTTTTCTCGTACTTTTGAACTGTACACTTACTCTAACTATTTCTCCATGCGTAATTTCTTTCTTTATAGTTAAGATTTTTTAGTTTTAAAATTTATATCTTTTTATTGTAGGTTATTATCATTAAAAATACTTTTTCTGCTAGTCTCTTTTCAATGTATATCAATACCGCCGCTTGCTAAGTTCGCTGTGGAAATGTCAGAGGTTTAGAAAATGTATTGATCATTTACAGTATAGTCGTACTTCATTCTGTTACAGTTAATAATGTAGTATTGATACGTTTATTAATAACTAGACTACACCCGCTCGGTTGCAGAACTTAGTTTTGTCCTCTGTAGTCGCTACGACTAGTATCATCATCGCGAAAGGCCTGAACATTTCTCAGTTAGGCAGTTATTAAATATAAACAGAGATTCGGGATCTCCACACCCTTTTATCCTTTGCCATGACACTTTTCGATATTTTCTTTTAGACTAGTTACCTTATAATGTAATTCATGAGAGACTTTTTCCTAGACGGCATCTACCACCGATGGAAATGACAACTACGTTGAAGTGCCCCATACTTTCATCTTCTCTGCACAGCAGGTTTTTTAGCTCTGAACTTGAGACGGTCTTTTCAGTAGGGTCCAGCGAAAATATGCACAGAGGCTGATGCGACGAAGTCATCTTACGCGATCCGTGTCTGAGGCGACGGTGGAAGGATTCCGCCGAAGAACAACTTCCCTAATGAATCGAAAAGCGAATAGATAACAAATTAGTAATTAAACTTATCAAATATGCTCTAATGGCTGGACGGAAAATAAATAATAAATACAATAAATCCACCCATAAATGATCATACAGAGCTAAAGCGCCAACTTAATTGTTTAGACTCAAAATCGAGCATTAAAAACGAGACTAAGGATGGGTGGTTGGCACCCAGGTATAAGATAATTTCTTAGTTTAGGTCCAAATTGAGCCTGGCAGTTTGAAACAGCACTGGACGTAGGAAGTCAGAACACCTTAGCCGGCGATTTTTTAAAATTAACTCAGTACATGCCAATGAGAATTTTCTAGATGCAGCTAGCCTAAATCGAAGTTAATACAAAAATACCATATATATGTAAAGGATGAATGAGGTGATTCTAAATTTTCGCGTTGAAGCCACTGAAAGCTACTCAGATATCGCCAGAGCCGCTTCATATTGTGCTCAGGGTTCAGTATATAGATATAAACTCAATAATATGCATACTTGCATATTTGCAAAAATGTGTGCCGATGATATAAAGGTGTACGTACGCGTCTATAAATACGAGGCTAGCTTCCTGTTGCAAGTTTACCCAAACAAGATTTTAAAGTGAAGCAGTGCATTAGATGAAAAATAATTGGTTGAAAAATGCATCATTGTACACGCAAACCCCTAATTCGATTAACAAACAGTATTAACTAACTACGTTGCCCTGAGAATTACCGAGCATGTAATGGATCTACTTCTTCACGTAACACGCCTTCTTGATCAGATCTCACGTTTGTTCTAAAAAAACCCAATTTTATATACTAATTTATGCAACATAAATGTTGAGCTGTTCATTATATGCATATCACCCGTGTGATATCGAAATGAGAATTTTGAGGAAATTGAGGGCTTATAAGTAAAACGCGGCGCTTAGGTGATCAAATGGGCAAAGTTGGAAAACGGATCGATGATTACTGGATTTAACATCTCTAACAATCAAGAAAATGTATCAAAAGGCATCCTGCAAGTCTGAGACCAACATATTCGGGACATCGAAATAACCACTAGATTTTACTAAAATATATAACCAAAAATCTATCTCTAAAAAACGATATCTAAATCCGTTTCCATCAGGAATCCCCTTTGTGCAACCAAGAAACAATATATAAAATGGGTAGCTTGTTTTATGCCTACGAATGCTATTGCAATTAACCTTTGAATAAGCATGTCATTGCTATTTTAATCTTGTGCGTCAGGCTCCGAAAAAAACGCTATGAATTGAGACAAAACTTTTTCTATAACAAAAAAAAACAAAAACAATGAAATATCCACATCCAATGTTAGCGCCCATCTTGCTTTGGTTGACTTAGCTAATTTGCTGATGTTTCACTTAGCCTTATAAAAATTATTATACTCACTAGAAGTTATCCCGTTGCAGTTACCCTGTCTACCTAAAAATTTACTGTTTGACAGCCATTCTATTAGCCTGCTCTAATATAAATGGGTTTGATTCGCGTTACACATAACCCAACTTCCTAATAGACATTTATTGAGAATACACTCAAGAAGCCGCTAAACCGTATTGGGACGTCTTTTCATTCCATTATTACGTGCGTCAATCGATACGACTCATAGGTCGTTTGGCCCTTTCCATGCGGAAATATCTTTAAGGCATAGAAACATGCATGGCATTTTATTAAGCTTCTCGAAAGCTATGACTTGGTACCGAAAAATACATTTCCTACATTGGGTTCATCCGAAAACTGAAGTTCAGCTTTCGAAACATACATTTTATTTCGATTCAGTTCATTGAAAGCTTTCGAGTGGCATCAAGAAATACCTTCTACGTAGTCCTCCTTGTAAAAAAATTCGAACCTTAAGAAGTTTTTCAGTTATACTAACCGATCTATCGATCGGCTTAAAAGAACCACCATAAAATTGTGCTTTTTTATTTTTGATATTTCGGTGTTTAGTAGAAAAATCTATCAAAGAATATTTTGGGGAAAAGCTGTGCTACCAAAATATTTGCTCTGTTACGCTCTCCAATCAACATGAATTAGAAAATCACTTACAGTACCATTGTCAATCATCTCGGAGTTCACCTGATTTGTGCCGTGGGAACATCAGATATCGCGTTCAATTTTTCAAGGTATCAATTTAAGGTGTAGAACTATGTACTACATAGAAGCTCGTCGAGATCTATCTATTGATAAAATCCCTTTACGTAGAAAATTTTGTAAATTGCCAATTTTTGAAACATCAAATTAGGTTTCTTTTCACACGGCCTTTTTTTATTTGAAAACTAAAACTTCGATGCCGGAGCATGCGTAGCCGTTTGTCTCAACTTGGTGAAATATTTTGATTAATACCAAACAAAATACATTTTTTTCACAATAAACATAAATCGTTTTTTCATAAATAGATTTCCCGAGATTTTATTAAAAAAAATACAGTTTACATTAGCCCCTACAACATTTGTATGAATATCTATAAGGTATTTCGGCTAAAAATATCTTAGAATAGACGATTTCAAAAATGGATTTCATAGTCAGACAGAGAGAACCAGCGAAAGAAAGATTTAATTCGCGCTTAAATAACAAAAATTTTAGATAAAATTTTGCCAAGTAAAAACTATAATTCACGAGAGACCTACGCTTTTTTGGTTGCAATACATTTGAAATTTGTCAGCATTAAATGCATCATGTCATTGCAACTATCCCGTTATAGCTTTTGTATTTTCTTGATTCATGTGGTTAATCTAATCTATTACACTGTTTCCGTGATTATTCTGTTGGAATGATCCCGCTTTTCTATTGAAATGCCGTAGTAACCTCATTACCTAATTCCAATCAATCAGCTGATACCTTGCATGCATCCTTCTCTAAACCACTTTAAAAACAATCGAGTTTAATCCAAAAATTGTTAATACAAACTCATGCAAATTTTATTCAACTTGTGCAATCCGGCAGCAGTCTATGACTTCACCTGATTTAGAAACCACCATGCCTTTCTATAGTTATGCCTCTGACCTATTTCAGCCTTGATGAAAATATCCATCAAATAAAAGAAAATGGACAGCAGATGACTTCAAGGTGGCTTGGACTTGATTACCAACAATTTTGTAAATGAACTAAATGAGCGTTGCGTCTTTTATTGGAAAAAGAAACTGGCCCCAGAAAAGTTCTCGTCAGTTATTGACCCTCTCGGAAAAATCACCATCTTTCCACTGGAAGTAAAGCTATGAAAATTCAAAAACTACTCTTCAAGTTCAATTTTGTGCGACTCTTATAAACTCTAAAAAATAAATAATTTTATGTATATTACTTAACAGTTCTTGCACATATAACGGCCCGAAGTAACATTACTCTCTATAATAAACCTCGGGAAAAGTACTCATCCGATTGGCTCTACCTGGAACTTTTACCAGGTTAGAACCTTGCCGACCCACCAAAATTCATGCCTAACCCGACCTAAACGCACTTGAGCAAAACAAAAAGCGAACTTCTATATATAATTGATAAGATAATGACCGCCTGTCATGATATGTTTTTTAAAAACGATATCCTTCTCGGAATAAATGTTATTTATTGGTATTGTATAGTATTTCCTTCTAAACAATTTATACAATCCTATTAGATTTAGTTGGGACACCTGCGCAAGGCTGCAAACAATGCAACAAACATCTACGAATAACCAATAGTAGCTGGCGGCCGTTTTTCACACGGCCATTTTTATTGTTATTAACAGCTCACGTTTGCCAATTTCCTGTGAGCTTAAATGCGTTATAGAAGATGCTTAGAAAAAACGGATATATATATATATATATATGTATCCGATAGAAAAGGGGTTCACAATGTACGATATGGAGAAACGGAACGTCGGTTGCGATAAGCACACTGGTACGTTGAGCTGAGTTTGTTTGGCCTGAATGGATGCATTCTCAATCCCGACAACCATCAGTTAACAACAAAACTCTTTCTGCTGTTCCTCGGCATTTTGAAGGTTACAGCCTGCCTTTATCGACAGTAAACATAAGAAGCGACATGAGAAGATGCAGTTCCTATTTTTATATACCAGTCGTTCGGGGCTATTTAAAAGTAGATATTTACTTTTTAGCCGACGATTCAGGAAGTAGAAAAACGTCAAATAACTTTCCGAATAACTTTCAAACTCGTTGGTATTAGTAGCTAGTCTATTTAGTTACTCCCGTAAGTGATTTCTCAAACATCGTTTAGCACAAATATACTACAGACATTTACTACTACTTTAAACGCTGATATATTTATAAAACGTTTATGAAAGAGTCAACAAAAATAAGAAAAGGTTGTAAATATTGTGAGGCGTTAAATACTCAGGAGAGGACACTCAGAGAGGCTTTCATATAAGGTAGCGCCATTTTATCCATTAATAATAGCCAAGATTTCCGGCCTAATTAAAGAAAAAACTGCGTATACACTTTTGTTTATTCTCCATTTTGCATTATAGGTTTTAATTAACCAAAAATAAGATTTTTAATTCTGGTGCAAAAATGGACCATTATTCTAATGTGACAAGAGAAACAAGCGTCTCGATGGCCATGTCTTTAATCTTAACTCAGATGTTAATTTTTTTTTGAGTGTTGTGATTTCGGGGTCTTGCCTCATTTAACGCGTTCCTGAATCCTGCAAGTTATGTGTGGTATCCAACTAAGAGTTTATGAAGCTTTGAAAGGTGATTTCGACATATTGAAATTTTAATAATTTTTCTATTAAGAAGTTAGTTAGCTTATAAAAAAATGGCGGTCTATAAGAGCAATATCTCGCAACGGATTACGGGAGCCTCTAAGTATGATTTCTGCACTTTGACTACCATGATATTTGCGATGTGAGGAGTGTTGTCGTGCAGTAAGGGTGGTTTACCTCCACTCATTTTCACCAATTATTGGTAAAACTCTTATGTACTGTGTATAAAGCTGTAGTGAATAACATCTGCATTAAATCAAAAAAACAGATACACAAAAATAAGTTTTTGCGGCTAGACATTCCTCTAATGGTGATGTTACGCCGGTTCTATTGCGTCTACCTACTGATGTGACCATCTGCGATTATTTTAGAAAATCAATTTTTTTATCACAACTGTCACCCCGGTGTAAAAGTGGGCCATTATTCTAACTTGACAACGAAGAGAAACAAGTGTGTATATGGCTCTGTTTTTAATCTTAACTCAAATTATGTGACACTCGTTTACCCATTTTTTTACCTTATAAATTTTATAGAAGTAAAGAATAAAAAGGTATGGCATATCTGTATACACCGAACTTGAGTACTAGCACCCGTATTGATAAGTTTTCGTCTACTATAGCTCTCGATAACTTATCATTTATCTTGGGGGGTATCTCTCACGAAATTCATTTTTGATTTTTTTTTTCGTATTTTTCAAACGAAAGAATCGCAATGTTTCTGGTTATAGAAGTTTAACGAATGGAGTTTTCGACAACAATCCGTCTCTACTGCTGTAGTTTGAAGATGGCATTCATTTTCGTAAACCATTGAAATTTTCCGATTTCCAGTGGTTTATTGCAACTCGCTTGCTAGAACCCTGAGTAGCGATATCCGAGCGAGCGATCTCAAATTTTCACTATACGCGTCTTGAATACAGAAAAAATATCGTGAACTTTGAACCGCCACAAAATAACGTCATCTTGAAATATACGATTGATGTTTGACATGTTTATTACATAATGGTATAATAACAATAATGATAATACCAATGAAAGTAACTCAGATTTCGGAAGACATTTTTTACATAATTTTTGGTATACGAACAATGCTAGAATACAATTATCTCTTGACCAAATTACAGAGAACGTAATCAAACGGCATTTTAATTAAAACTAAAGTTTTCTTTTCTCTGCGATCACGGTTAGAAAGATTTAATAAGAGATTTTTTTTTTTTAAGATTTAATGAGAAATCTGATTTTTAATTTCACTTTCAAAATAATATACTATGGAACAGACAGGGACTGTGGTGTAAACCACTCACAAGAAGCTATTATGCACGAGATTCGGAAAAAGCTTGAGACACAGCTCACAAAACTAAGTAAAATTTAGGAGACGAATAAGATGTGTTAGTTTTGTGCGTTTTTTTTGACGTACAGATATTTAATACCTAGACGTTAACAAATCGTAATTTTTTTCGCTCTATGAAAAATAATTACCTACACTATCCGATTAGTGTTTCTATCCATACACCGACGTATCTACACAGAAGCGCAAACAATTTCGTATATATACCCTATTTGGTCTAGATCCAAACATCAGAGACCAAAATACAGCGATCCAAGACCAACGACTTAGCTGGCCGCTCTGGGTATTGAAAGCCAGCAACCGGTTTATTTAGCGATCAAACAGTTGAGTGCTTGATTCGTACTTATTATCCACTATTTCGCTGGCTGTAATACAGAAATAATGTAATGTATTGCGCATGAAACGATTTGAAACAAACCCAACTAGGCAGCTAGACATTGGAAATCGCTTTAAACCTCAGAAATTCACAAGCGTTTCGCCATGTGAGATAGATCTTGTCTGGTATTAGCTGGTCAGAGCAAAAGTATCTGTTTGATTGGTACCTTTGAGAATATAACCGCTCGAGTATTTAAAATTCGACAAATTGGTCCAATTGGATAGCACTTAAGATGCTTAGGTAGTACAAAATTGTACGATTTGATACTCTGATTCGTCCTATGAAACTGAAGCATTATCCGAATAATAAAAAAATGATACAAACCCCGTGGCGAGGAATATTTTTTTTGGAAAATAAAATCCAAATGAGAATCATGCTTATCGAGCGCTTTCAGAATTGAAATTGCATAAGCCTTACAAGGAAACCATGAATAGTAGACTCAACACAAAAACATACAAACAGATCTATTTCGCGAGTAAGTCTTGCGCCATTTATTGACGAAATACCACGGTTGTGATGGAGGATAAAAGCATAACGCACGTAATTATGATATTCAATAGTTATTAATGCAATTCGCGTATAATGCAAACACAGCGTCTGACTGGATGATATACAGGGGACGATAAACAGGTAGATACACAGTGGTTAATTTGTTTTATCCCTATATGCAACACGTGGTATTCGGTAAGCCAGTGAAGTGATGATGGAAACAATTCATTCTCTTGACGTTACGACTATTTCATTCATTTGTAAATATATAGAGTATTTTTTTTATATTGTCACATGGATTAAACCATAGATCGTAACTGCATGCATGATGCGGTTACTAGCTAATATTGACATACGTATATATATATATGTACATATGCATATATATATATATATATATATGTACATATACATATATATATATGTACATATACATATATATATATATACTTGTCTTAGCTATTAGCCGATTCGTAGTTCAAGGTACTGCTTAATGCCGAATTATGCAGATGTCTTTGACTTTTTCGTAGATAGAGGTACAGGAATCTCAATGCCTTTTGCCTGCAGCATCTCTCGCATGAGCCTCTTCAGACAGGACACTTCAGCCTCAAGTTTTGTTACCTCGGTACGCAGCTCCCCATTAGCATCCATGAGCTGTTGTTCCTCTTCGGTGATCGTCTCCTCGGCTTGACGCCTTTTTTGTCGATACCTTTCGGCCGCGGTACGGTTTTGTGCCTTTTTGCGCTCTTTGCGGTCTTCCGGAGAGAACCGCGATCGCCTTCCGCCGCCAGTTCCAGCTTTGGTAACACGAATTTTTTGTTCCGTGCTGTGGTCGTTATCAGATGCTGTACCGGACGTTGATGAGGCGGGCGATCCTATAGAGTCAGTGCCTCCGATCGATGTGCAGAATGACGAGACTGACACCTGTGAGGTGCGGCGTTTCTTCTCGATTGGTGACTGGACCGTCATCTCGTCAGCGGATGTGAAGCCACTTGAAAATGGGCTAGACCCGCCAATACCGCTGCTTGAGCTCGTACAATAACCCAGACTGTACACCGATGCTGGTGACGCACAGCCCACGCTACTCTCGGCATACGCCGACGGGCGTTTGGTGTTTGGTGACAAAGCTTGCACTTCCTCCTCATAACCACTCACACGAAGGGAATCGTCTTCAAATACAACTTTAGGTGAAATCACCTGAATACTGGATGAAATCTGATCAGAGCAGGCGGTCAGACGGTCGTCTTCCTGTTCGAGTTTGACCAGAGGTGCTACGGGGGTAACTGCATCCGAAGGGAACTCACTAGCCCAAGGGGGCCAGCTGACCTCCTCATCGGAAACTTCTTCGAGGGCTGGGATTTCATCGAATAATGGTTGGCATGCGGGCGGCGCTAGGTCAGTGTCTGCGCATTCATTAGACTGACCCTTAATATCTTCGAGCTCCGGAATCCCAACGAGATCGAAAGCGCTTTCGTCTATCAAAGGCAGATGGTCAAAGCCCGAATTGCACGCCGACCCAATGAGGTCAAGCAGGTGTCCTGCATAATCAGGCTCATGCAGGAATGATGCCGCAAACTGAAGGCTGTCATTGTTTGTGATTTGACCATCGACAAGCGCTGAAAAATAAAAGATAGGATCATGTCATAATTTATTTGCCGTCACTTGCTTTTCAGTAGCCTAGAGCAACGCCTTACACGCATCCACTAAGACATGGCTTACAGTTTTTGACGTCTTGAGATGCGCGAATATTTGCGTCAAACAGAACACGACGTGACAAGCAATTCCATCTAAAAAGAACGAACGCCACAATCCATAGTCATCCCTTCATATGTAGATGCAACTGATTTGCAATGCAGACTATCATAAAAAATGTACGAAAATAGTAAACACTATAGCTGTTCGCTTTTTGCCTGACCATACAAGTCTAGCTACTGTGAACACATCTTTCACTCAACATAATGAGCTACATCAATGTCTTTCAGTTGGCGTTAATCAATTAAACTAAAACATCGCAAGACAACGACGTAAACTGGAACCTTAAGCAAACAGTAAAAGCACGGTAACCAACAATCACGTGCAACAATAGTGCCGTTTTTAAGCAATTTCCACAAAGTGATGATTTTTACAAAGTAGAACATGCTGCTGCTGGCAGAGTGTACAACAAGGAACAAAGGATTGAAGCTATTAAATATTCTTGAATAATAGCAGAGATAAAAAGTCGGTACCTTCAGAAGTGGCAATGGTGGGACCCAAGCTGGAAGCAAATGCTTCGAGCTTCGAGTCCCGAAACGCTGGAACTGCAGACAGCATTTTTGGTGTGGCGAAGACTTTCTCGGCTGCTGAAGAAAATTAGGGGCTGAGGGCCTCCGGGGGCAGGCATTTTGAACCTAGAATAAAGCAGGATGGTGCTGTTGAAATGCTGATGACAATGCCATATGGATCAACATGTAACTTGACAGAGGGAACATACTGTGCTCGTCTAGCCAGTGTCCTTTGATTTTAGTAAGTCTGTTACTGAATTGACGAAGTGTAGTTTTACTAAGTACCTATCAGGGCCAGCACATAACCGGCCCGAATTAGTTCATCCAAAACATAATTCGATAATAAGGATCCCAAATATGTCTCGTAATTGGAATCTGTTATTGAATTTTATTCGTTGCATAGCCACTCTATCCAAACCAAGCACAGTATGTTTAAATACACAACTATTAATCGCTTCCCGTTTTAAACACGTACTATCGTACTCGAAAATGATCGCTGTTAAGGAAATTTTTTCATAGAGGAAAAGTCTTAGCAGGCTTTTTCAATATCGGGTAAGAAGATAATATAGCGCATGCTACGAAAGGCCTGAAAGCAGACAACTTTATGTTGATGAACATGCTTGCTAAGCCGCTTTCCGGTTACGGATTGGTGTGACTACTCTTCTTAAATAAATGATACAATGGACACTCAGATTACAGGCTCAATTTCGCAAACACTATATATACTAGAATATATTGGCTTTCTATCTACAACATTTTAAAATTATCATGTTCGTCAATATGGCCGCTGTGTGCTGTAAATCATTACCTGTGTGCCAGCCGATATGCGACGGTTATTCGGCGTACATTGTTAGGCACGCAAAGACATCTCGCGGTGCAAAAACACAAACACTTTCGGCAAAGCATTAAACCCCCTTTAGTTCAATAACGAGAAGATTTGAGACCAGCTCACAATAAGCTATTGCTTTCGTTCTGTTCGCTAGCCGTCACTATATGTCAATGACGTAATCCAATGACTAGAAAAATAGAATTTGCCGCACCAGTTAGTCACAGACACCGCAGACTGTCACAGACAACACAGCAACAGGGAAAACCGCTGGCAGTCCATAATATCAATACTTTCAGAGCAATATTCAGTTTCTCTCTGGCTTTCTGAAGACTACTGTCTTTATTTCTTATTCACAGAATCCGAGAATGCAAGCTAAACTGCAGGTTGTACTGTATATGCGAAACTATTATAGAAAGAATTATACGATAATTCTTTTGTGATTATGCCGTAGTAGAATATCGTTTCTCTGAAACGACAACATGAACCGCTGCATAATAGGGCATGGTGATCTTTGTTTCGATTATTACTACTGCTACAGTCGAGATCCAACAATGAACATTGGCATCATTGTGTACACTTTCGTACGGTTACGGCACTTGTTATTGTATTTCACAATGGTATATTATCCGTACGGATAATCGTCTAAGTCAAGTCTCAGGCTGAGCAAGAACAAATCTGCGTATGCACATTAAACCCAACGGACCCAGCTGCTCCTTACCGAAAGCAAACACACACACAGTCAATCAAATATTAGGCCAATAATTATCACAGCGTCCAATCCTTCAATACGAGTGTTGTCTGTATACAGATTCTACAAAACGCAGCGATACTATTTTAGTTCATTTACAATCTGTTGGTTGTACGCCGTCAATTCGAAAGGGCCTTTGGACAGCCGGCTCGGTGCGATGCAGATGTAGGCGTTATGGTTATGTTGTCGCAGTAACTGCGCGCCGTTCTTTTGCGTGCATCGCGTGCCATTTACACGAAGTGTCCTATCCACATATGAAAATGAATGTTGCCTAGTGTATAGTTTTGTATCGTATTAAGTTGTAACTGTGTGTCTGATAATCGGCGTCCTGTCTTCGGTCGACGGGCCTAGAAAGCGAGTGGCGTTGGACTGACCGCACGAGTCGTTGGGTGATGGACATGCGAACTGTATTAGAATCCAGTATACGAATAGCGGTCGCGGCTATTCCGCCGCCTTTGTCGACGCTGCTGCTATCGACGTTGTTGTTCGACCGACTATTAAACCAATGAACTGAGCGAGCAGAGTAGCAGAAACACCAAATCAATAGACAAAGTGGACGGCTCACTCTCACGTTGACACGATTCAGCGCAGAGCCACGTTCTTTGCCGATCGCGGCGGCCCGACAGACAGTCTTGTCGTGTGCTGTACTGCAATATCTTTTCTCAGCTACACAAGCCTGCAAGTGAGAGACGTCCGCTGCGGTAACACCAGAACTGTTACCAACAAGATCTTGCCTCCAGACGAACAGATGGTGACGGCTGTACCACTGTTGAACGCAGTATAATCTACCAGGGTTAGAATGGGATTGAGTCTGCCTACAGTATGCGTATATAATGCGTACACACAGACATTATACGTAAACACGTGAGAAAGAGAGAGAGAGAGAGAGAAAGGATAAGAATAGATAAAATACTATACGAGAGCATTGACGCGCCCGTTGGTCCTCTAGCTGGCCGCCGTCGGTGGTCAACGCCGTAACGAGCTACTGTCGCACTAGCTTGGTTACTATTACTTTTGCTAATGCTGCTGCTGCTGCTGCCGCCGTGAGTAAAACCTGTTTCATTCATGTTGTTGTTGCGTACCGTAGGAGCGGTGCTCTTGATATCCAGGATGGCAACAGTGGACGAGGTGCTTCTTTGCACCTCACACAGACACGAGCAGACAGCCAGGCTTCTAGTTGGCTTCTACATAAACTATGCGCACGTACAAAGACAGACTGTTCCCGCGCTGCCAACGCACAACAATCGTCGCGAATTCGCGCGCTTTGGGTGTAATTCAGCAGTCGATTAATTAGCAGTAGGATACGACGCGGCGACCCTACGGACCAGCCAAGGTACAAAAGTAACGACGAAACGATTATGGCCGTTTGCATTGACAATCACTACTGCTGTTCAGCGATTGGTAGTGGACCAGACGCGGCCAACAGGACGCCTGTGTCCTTCGTTGTCTTGCTGGCAAGGGACAAAGTAACAACGAACGATGCTGGATAGGCTAGCGTACGAAAAACGCTGCCGTATAGCAGATTTTAACAGCTGTATTAGTAGTGGTGATGGCATTGGGTACTTGTCGTTGTTGTTGTTGTTGGATAGAAGAAGCGAACGAGCAAAGGGACATTTGCCTTGCTCGGTCCTGAATCTGGACCACCGAAGCAACCGCTCAGACAGACCGAGAAATCGTTCAACTTCCGCACGCGGCCAAGACGAAGAATAACGACAACTTCAACAGTAACAGCAGCGTTTACTTCTCAATGTTAACTTCCATACAGATGTGAAGGCCATACAGACAGTTTCGCGGCGGTAAACATCGATAAATCAACAGTGATTAGCATAGAGCCAATCCTGTTGCAGCTACCTCACACTGCCGTAAGAACTTGCCAACGAAAAGTGCTATCATCTGAATCAAGTATGTAATGAAGTGTTGACGATAAAACTGACACACACGAATTCGTGCGAAAAATGGAAGCAGAGAAACGTCCCAAAAAGTAATTTACCAGTAAAGGCACCCATAGGAGTAGCTAGTGTTAATTAGATATCAACAACCATGATCTGTGACTCTTAGTTAAAAAAAAATCGAAGTCTCTAGATCGTGCCTCCTTTACAATTATCATTGTTATATCATCGCACGTCTCCTACGCGTGGCAGCCAAACCTTAGTTTTTCCTAACGAATTGGAGGGAAAAAAGAGAATTACTCCGGATACAGATACAGCAACAAATACTAGCGAAAAAGTAACGAACAACTTCTCAGGAAGTACTTTCGGATTAATGTCCTAAACAGGGGACAGTTGCACTCTATCGACGCAGATAAGAATCGAACGAGAAAACCTGATTTCGGAATTAGTCTCAGTATCGATTTAACAATGTGATGCGGAATTACAAAAAGCTAGCCCCTAAATGTTTCTACGATTGCGGATTGCCTTCAACGAGTACAAATCCAGTATGGTATGTATATTGGTAATGGAAATGGCTACACCGGAGGGGCAAACGGACAGAGTTCAACGATCGCAACTACCGGGGTGGTTTATTATCTGTCGATAACAGCACAGAGCGAGATCAGCGTATTTGAGGGATGATTGTGCAAAATGATATCTTTTCTATATTTATAATATTTGTCGCTGGCACGGACGCAATCGTCAAGGGGCTTAGAGATATGCATGAATGCACTTATTCTATGAAGAAATAGCTAGAAAAGCACAGCTTACATCCGCCATAGCTGAGCGAAATCAATGCGTTGCATTAAAAAAAAAAAGGCAATATCAGAACTAGATCGTTGATAGCGTTATTGTAGAATGTTACCCTTCTACCATGCAAGCACAACGTATCTACGATGTTTACGGCGGATACATTACCCTGAGACTACAGGATTTATTACCTGAAATCGTTATATTAGTACAATAAAAACACCAGCGTATAGGATAGCCAGTTTCTGTTGTTAGTAAAGATCCTTTAAGCAAGCGAAGTTAGCAAGCAAGATTTGTTCAGGAACAAATTTGATATTCATAAAATACCACGGATCCATAATATTACAAGCGTGAGAACGGCCTACTTCGCGTGCACTTGAGCGAGTTCGTTTTAACGGTGGCAAGCATCTTATTATTATTATAGCAGGTTATTCGCTTATCCCATATATCGCACACAGAGAACAATAAAGGTAGCATTCTTTAAATGGCGGTAATGGTAGACTGACGCGAGGGGTCCGCGCGGGGGGGGGGGGGGGTAGCTACTATTCTTGCGCGGATACTATTCCCTGTCTGGAAATACCGGGCCACATAACACAACGAGCGTTTTCAAAAAAGCGTCAGTCGCGTTTAAATGAGCACAAATTCGAAGGTGACAAACGCACATGTGATTGCGGCGGTGAAATCCGATGCCAGATTGTCGGCTAAATCCTGAACGCGCCGCTAAACGAAAAGGCGTAATAGTGGTCCTTCTCACCTCCAAAAGGTCGCTAATCCACTTAAGAGCGGCCAGTTCAAATTCGCTACATTCGAAGTACAACATGTCTTGGCTATACCGTAAGGAGAGGTGTGATCTGTAAACGAAACGCGTTCTCGCGCATGTTGAGCATAAGCCCGCGGTCTCACTTCAGCTCACCTTCTCTCTACTAAGCCAACAAAAAATTATACCCATCCGCCATGAACCGACGGACGTAGATCAACATTTCAGTTGTTTCAATGACATTTTTCTTTTCGTCAGTCAATATTTGAGATGGTCCATTGCCTGTTTTGATGCTGATCAGCTGTTTCGCAGCATGATCGTAGTCGTCGAGGTAGTGTTACACATATAGCATAATGGTAGTCAGTTACTATGTTACCGAACAAGTAAATAGATAACAGTTAACAAAGACTTTTCTCTTCTTTCACTCAGCCAGGACTTCAGACATGCGTGACAATGCAGGAACGTCCCTATTCATATCGCGTCATTGTGTAAAAAAGAAATCGATGTACCTGGTATCTAACAATGAAAATGTTGCGCACTGCTTTGTCTCCAACTTTCAGGATACCTCTTATAGGCGCATTAACGCGTTCGTCGTCATAACAGTTACTGAGCATCATTTCGTATATTATTAATCGTATATATATATATTCGTATATCTTAATAATAAATAGATATAGACAGTAGATTGGTGCTATCTCACGGTGGATCTGCAACCCTAACGGTACCATCGGCTACCGCTGTAGCATAGATGTATTTTACCTTCATAAAAAGCATCGTCCCGTTTGCTGCCCAGCGGGCGTTCGCTACTGAGCATCAATACAGCGCAAACGTTCAACTGCGAAGGTATTCATATCAAATATGATTATACCCACAATGTTATCAAATATAGGACATATGCAGCACCACGTCTCGATAACCCACTGTGCGATCATCTTCGAGAAAGACATTCGAAGTCCGGAATATAGAGATTAAACCAATCTTATACGTTCCATACACATACACATCTGTATCTAGGAGAGGCGATAGCTTATTGAGGTCGTAATGAATGAGATTCAGCTGCAACAACATCAATCAAAGCAGCGCAGTATTTATTGCGTTAAAACCTAATGTTCGAACATCAAAGTGTACTACTGTATTTTGTTTGACCAGTATAAAACAAAGTACCATTACAAGTAGATCATTTAATGACTTAAGGGTACGTTCTCGATTGGTGAAAAGATAAAAAGTTGAAATTTCTTTTTGGTCTCGAACGGCGATTAACAAGTTATGTAATGATCGAGGTTACACCTAAAGCATAGTCCTACTGAGAATGCAAGTTACTAAGCGACAGTATTGCGCCATTTGCCGGGTAAGCTGTCGCAGAAAATTCGTACATTTCTACTACGCATATAGCAGTGATAATCATAATAGAGTCACTAGTTTCAAGACAAAAAAATCTATTAAACGTTGATGGAAATATATATTATTTGATATTAGAACTACAAAATGTGCCATAGCCAAGTAATATCCCCAGGCATGTCAGTGCTTGTAACAAGCACACTACACATGAATTCATGATCGGATATATTCATAGAATTTTTATCAATGGTTAGCATGGATAACTTGGATTTATGGTTCGTATACATTCGATCCGTGTGTATACGACATGCACACAACGGTACACTAACAACAAACAACAATTGTATGTAGGCATTGTTATACCCATTCTGAAATACCTCCTCTTACCAATCCTCTGTACTCTCCTGTGGAAGAAAAAGTCTAATTTTTCACATTTCTACATTAGCTGTGAAAAGAGTACGGTTAATTACATTCTCGATACGCTCTCAACTGCGATATTTACTGGTAGCATCAAAACGCACAAAACCCAGTCAGCATTGCCTTTTAGTCCTTTCTATTCGGCCAACTCTCGCTTTTCGTCCACCTGGAACTCTTCTTTGTCCCGAACTGTCTCTCTTCCGAACGTCAAAGTGCGTTCGCGTGACGTCAGTAGCTTCGTAAGTAACCAGCAACTATCGCGTGCAAGAGCGGGGAACAGTCAACGCTCGACTCAACAATCAAAGGGCACTCTCTCTATGGGCAACGACCCACACCTCCTAGTTTTACGCATGCGAAGATCGCCTCTTGATGGCAGATACACTAACCATGCTACAATCACCTCGTCTTGTAAAAATAACAGCAATATCAAAGTTTTTTTTAAGAACAACAAAGTTAATGTCGAAAAGGTGTGTAAACCTAAAATTGGTGGACATCATGGTAGCCGACAACGTGCGCTTCTTGGCATCCGAGATAACCTTGCACTTGGTTTGCGACACTCTGAAGTTGGGCAAGCAGGTGGCTAGCAGGCGTTAACCGCTAAATCAGCCTAAACATTTCTTCAAAGATGTTCGATTCCGTTGTTCACCTTTTTAATATAAATATATATATATATA